AAAAAAAAAAAAAAGAAGGAAGGACCCTGATGATGAATCTCTTTTCACTGAAAATGATGCAGTTTGTATTTGTAAAAGTACAAGTATATTCATGTGGATATATGTGTGTACAGGTAAGGGCATCTGAGTAATGAATGGCTGTCTGTTTCCATTCTTAAATTGTCCAGGAGCACAGAATCCACATCCTCTGGCTGTTGCATTTTTTTTGTGTGCAGGTCTTGAAGCTTGAACTTAGGGTCTGGGTTCTATTCCTGAGCTTCCTCGAGTCAAAGCTAGCACTCTACCATTTGAGCCACAGCTTCACTTCCAGTTCTTTTGGTAGTATAGTAGAGATAAAGTCTTACAGACTTTCCTGCCTGAGCTGGCTTTAAGCCATGATCCTCAGATCTCAGTCTCTTGAGTAGATAAGATTACAGGCATGAGCCTTTGGTGCCCGGCTTGGCTGTTACATTTTTGCCTGTGGGAAAATAGTTCAAATTTTGAAACACATCTGGATTTTCATTTAGCAACAATGCCCTGCTTGCAGCAGGTGCTTAGATACAAGTGTGAGCTGATTTATGGCTGCCTGTGACAAGGCTCTGGGTCAGCCAGATGGCTTGAGAAGTCTGCTCAGGTATGTGTGTACCCTTAATGAAAAACATGCAGTATTACTGGTGCCAGTGGACAGCCTTGTACTTTTAGATTTTGTCTTTATAAATCAAGACTTTTCAAAAGAGAGGTATGTAATTTTCAGTGGGCAGACTGTATGTTGAATACATAAAACAAAACAATAAAAGGTTTTCTACTGGGAGCAGTTAGTTCCAAATTGCTCCAAGTGTTTCCGAAGAAGCTGAGTGGCCATCCCTCAGGACTGTTATCACAAACTGGAAATTTGACTATCTGGTAACCAAACCTCTCACAACTCTAGGAATCTGAAAGTTTCTAGAACTATGTCTAACTGGAAGAGTGAAATACACATAAAGGAGAGTATGGATTACTGTAGGTAACTGTATGTAAATATAATTTTCCTCATGGTAAATGTATTTAAGTTTAAAAATGGAGTGAAAATTATACAATGCTTAAAAATAAGAATTTTAATGGAGTGTTAATGTGTATGCTGATTTCAGCTTGAAGCACAGGAACCATTTGTAGGTCTTTCTGCTCAAATCTTATCTAGCTTGTGTGGTGAACACATAGCCACCAGTTTGGTCTAGAGTTTCAGGACATTATAGCAGAATGACACTGACAACCTGTGAGCTGTCCAGATACTGAAATACTATTGTATTTGGTCAAACATTTCCTGGCAAAGTATAGTCCTCTTGAAAGGATCAAGCATGCTGTCTTCTGGAACTGGCTTCCTAGCTTGCTTTATTTTGTGACCAAACTTTGAGTTGAGTCAAGGTCTTCCGACTTTTCTTGTTGCTCTTTTAAAGAATTAAAATTATTATTAAAAGGGTGATATACATAGGGTTTACTGTTACCTAAGTCAAGAGTATCTCCCCCCCCTTTTTTTTCTTTGTCGGTCGTGAGGCTTGAACTCTGGGCCTGGGCGCTGTCCCTCAGCTCTTCAGCTCAAAGTGAGTGTTCTACTGCTTAAGCCATAGTGCCACTTACGGTTTTCAAGTGGTTTATTGGAGATAAGAGTCTCACGGACTTTCCTGCCCCAGCTGGCTTTGAACCAGGATCCTCAGATCTCAGCCTCCTGAGTAGCTAGGATTACAGGCATGAGCCACCGACGCCCGGCAGGAGTATATTTCTTTTTGGACAAATCACCCCTTCCATTTCTTTCTCCTAGTTTTTCCCTCCCATCCCCAACCACAAGTTGTATAGTTCATTTTCAACATAGTAGCTAATGAGTACCACTGTGCTGCATTTGTTTACCCTTTGTCACTCATTCCCATTTCTTAGAGTTCATTTTGATAAATATTATTTTATATGATCAGACACACATAGGCATTGTGCCTTTGTGTTCCTCTCCTAAGAATTTCTTGTGGCTCTTAATAGAAGCAGCCTGCTTCTATGATCAACATTTATATTCTCACTATACCATATGTGGAAGAAATCATACCAAGGCACTATGTAGACCAATTTTCCCCATGGGTGCTTTTCATGTGCATACTGGCAGAAGAGTCATTGAATTAGATGAACTGAATAAGGTTTTATAGCACTGCTTAGTAATTGTCCCACTTCTAACCCATCCAAATTTTGTCCCTTTTACGTTCCTTTAATTGCACATAACGTTCATTGCAACAAATAATCTATAACGTTTCTTATATTTCTGAATTCTGTGGTGATTATACTTTTTATTTGTTCCCCACAACTAGAGATAAGCTCTTTCAAGGATTACCACCTATGTTTATAGTCTCTGTCAGTCCCTCTTCCAGGTTTTACATAAAGTAAGTAGAAAAATAAATGTTGTTGACAGATACATTCTAGAAGCACTTAGAATTTAACAGTTTTGCCAGGTTCTGGCGACTTGCACTATAATCCTACTAACCCAGGAAGCTGAGATGTAAAGATTGTGGTTCAAATCCAGAAGTGCAGCTGTGGCCCAAGAAGTAGAA